CTCTAATTCTGTTTTCTCTATTTGAAGGATCGTATATATTTCAGAATAATCCGAAAGCTTATCAGATAAGCATCGGATTTACCCCTGATTCATCCAAATCTGACAATTTGTTGTTGATTTACAAGAGTTTTAGGTAAAAGTGTTATGATTCACTCGAAGAATTACCGTTAGTTAGATTTTTTTGACTTCAAAGTTGGCTAGAAAGATATTTATACCTCGTATGGACGGGTATTTGATGTCCTTCGAAATGGTATCATGGTATCATGAAATGGTATCATGGTATCATGAAATGGTATCATGAATATGATTTAATTACAATTTCTAGAAGTTATTGGATATTGTTTCTGTTTTGAAGCTCGTCTTCTTCAAATTCGCCCTTTTCATTAATTTCCAGACCTTTGTACTCGATTAATCTTGCTCTATTATGCCATAATTTGAAGATCTCGAGAAGATCTTTAAAATTACGCCTGATTCTTTCCATTCTGTCGGCTCGTTCAATTTTTGTATATCACGATTTTGAGAGAGAAAATGTCAGAAATTTATCATATTTTGAATTTTGAATGTTTTGCCGTCAAATTACTAATTTTCGCCTCGATTATCAATAGATTATTATTGAAATTCTGAGGCGGTTGTGACGCTAAATTTATACTGATTGTTAATTATTAACGAAATGTCATAATTTTTCTACGTCTGACCCAACGAATAATTTATTATTTATTATCCTGTAGCCCCTATGGTTGCTAGAATTGCGATGTTGCTCATTATTGTTGAAATGGCCAACAATGAAGTGATATTTATAACATTTATATGAAGTTCGTCCTTTCACCATACGTTGAAGGTTCCTTGCGATATCGTAATTCACCGTTTATTCATAGAAAACTATCTTCTCAATACGACAGCTAATTCATCTATTAATGAAAAGTATAAGTTAGCAAATTCATAGCAATTTTTTGAAGAAGTTAAAAAATAGTAGAGGTCAAGAAATAGATTATGAATTATTGGTGAAATGATTGTTATTTTTCCGTGAATATAATGTATTGTTTATAATTTCGGAGCTTGCCCTGATGATTTATTTGGAACATGATTGAAGGTCTCCAGATTATTCAGCAGCGATGGCTAGACCTGGAGGTGTGATGCCCGTATTTCCCGGTACAGCTGAACAACAATTTCCAAATAATCGTCCGCCAACGATAAATCAACCACTGCGAACAACAAATAACACGAGTTCACGACCTGGCTCTGTCTCGAAAGCAACAAACACTGGTGAACCTACGACAAAGGCTTTTGCGTGTACAGTTTGTGGTAAAGGTCTGGCACGCAAAGATAAACTCGTGATACACATGCGTATACACACTGGGGAAAAGCCCTATTCGTGTGAAGTATGTGGAAAGGCATTTGCACGGAGGGACAAGTTAGTCATTCACATGAATAAACTTCGGCATAGACCTGGTGTGACGCCACTCTCGACACCCTCAGCACCTAGTAATGATCAGGCTAATCAGCAGCAGCAGCAACAGTCGCAACCACCGCAGCCACCTCAGCAACCGAGACAAGAGGTTCATCATAAATTGAAGGAGGAACCTGTTAGTTGGACGTGTGAACTATGCGGCCGGGTGCTCCTTACGAGAGAGGAATGGGCACTTCATGCTAAGTAATTATTAAACCATTTTTATTTTCGTCACGCATCAAATCAATCACAGATTTTTAAGAATCTACTTTTAGTTTTTATTAGATAAGAACACCAACTTGCAATCTTAGACGAAATAATCTATTCATCATAAAGGCTTGACAATTCGTTTTAAATAATAATAGTCGAATTAATAATATGAACTGATTAAAACGAAATTTAGTTTCCTCTGCAAAATCTTTTTTTTTATTATTTTTTCGGAAACTTGGTAGATTCCTTTTAAACAATATCGAGATTTAGCGCCCTTCGATAATTTTTCGAGTGGGTTCAACATAAATTGAATCCCTAGTTTAAAAATATGTTAAGCTAACAAGATGGAATTCAAACAAAAGATTATTTTCGATAGATATAGTCCATGCAGGTCTTGAACCGAATTTTTCCCCAATAGTTAAACTTCCGTCAGTAAAATTCGTCAGTAAAATTTTTTCCCAATCGTTAAGCACCCGTCAGTAAAATGTTCTTTTTTTT